CACGGCTGCACCAGCGCGAAAATCACCTGTGGAGACGCTGCGACCTGGTCCCCGCTGTGTGATATGTGAGACTAAACACACAGGATTTAGTCTTTTATCCCAAATACACTAAAACCCCAGGGGTTTTTATCCCAGATAAACTAGTCTCTTTGGGCTCGAGATCTAGTTTTGGTCACAGCAGTCTGCGGTACATGGGGTTCAAAAGGCATAGTACATGATAAAAATAAATAAATAATAAATTACTGCTGATTAATTTAAGTTGCTGGTCGAGTGTATGAAATTTGCCACAGGGCAAAAATCACCTGTGGAGATACCGGGACCAGCTGGGTGAGAGATGCCACTAAACACACGGGGTTTAGTCTCTTTGGGGTAAAACCCTCTAGTTCTTAAGTCTATTTGCAATAGAAACTACTTCTGATTGCACTAGTCTGTTGTACCCGGGGTTCAAAATGCACAATAAATAATAAAAATAAATGATTGTAAATACGTGTGGTTCAAGAGGCATAAAGAGGTACTTAGGATCAACATATCTACTGGCAAAAGATTTAATAAAAGAAAAATAATATCTTTCTTTGGCAGTCTTGTCAGTGGTGTTTTTTTTTTTTTTAATTTTTTAATTTCTTGTTTCCTGTGGTCTGCTTTATCTTGCAAACGCTTAGGCTCAAATGAGCAACATCAGATAAAAATCAACAGTTGGGTACAAGGTTTCAGAATAACTGTGGCACTAAGGGAGGGTTCACAGGCTTTAGACACGTGTGTACACATGTGCATAACAGCATCACTTCTTTTCGGGGCTGCATTCCATCACATGAGCACTACAATCAGATTTCCTCCTGTTTTCATACACTTCCCATGTATCATTTATCAGGAACCTGCTCCAAATCCAGTGAGTGACAGAAGACAGATAAATTGTGGTTCTGGATGATTTTTTTTTCCCCCTTTAATTTCTTATGGTTGAAACCCAACAGCAGCTGGGTTTGCCTGTAGATGTGACTGATGTTTGTAACTGGGGCAGGGCAGACAAGATCTGTAAGTCAAGGCTGCTTCTTTGGAAGCTGCTGATGGGAACATTCTGCTCATGTGGATTAAAAAAAACCCTGAAGTCGCAGGAGCTTAGAGACCATTTGTGCTGAGGTAAAAGGATGTTTAAATTCTGGTTATAGAACTGTCTGAAAGTGTACACTGGTTCACTCCACAAATTTATGTTTCTTTGTCTCCCACAGGCTCAGAAATGAGGAGATTGCCTGTCAGAACTGGATGACTTGTCTTTTTCTGGCTTGATTCTTCTGAACAATTTCCATAGAAACTTTGGCCTCGTACAGTGGGATTGGTTCATCCAGCTGAGGCCTAAAGGGAAAGAGTAGAAGTGTCTGCTGAGCACACTCAGATCAACAGGGATGTCACAGGACAGACTTTACTTTCACTGTGCAAACCTCACTCCTTAAACAAAATAAAAGTTTTATAGCTTTGCTCGAGTGCACAGGAGGAGGGAAAAGCCCTAAAAGCAAACAGGAAACAGAAATTAATAAAAGTATATCCTTAGAGGGGGGGAAAAAGGGGTGGTGGTGAGGGTTTTGCTCAACAGCAACAGTTATCCTGCTTCAAGGGAAGGGATCCCACCTCATTAGGGGAGTGTTCCTCTCTCCTGAAGCTCTTCTCAGGAGTGTTAGAGCTGGCAAGAGTTTTCTGCTTCTAATGCTGAAGTAAAAAAACCCACAACCCCCCTGAGATCTCTCACCTGAAAACGCCACTTGATAATTTCTCCATGATATCTTCTAGGATGGGTATCCAAGAGGACTGTCAAGGAACAACAGAGCTGGAGAGAAACCTCTGAATAATCACGTTTGCTGGCCAGAGCCCTGGACTGATACAAGCCCAGCAGGATCCAGGCAAAAGGAAAATGAATCTCAATTCCAATCTTTAGATCAGATTTTTCCACTTGTTTCTATATGAGAGACTTTTCCCACAATAGGATGAAGAAATGAAATATGGAATATTTCAATTCTTTCAATATAAAAATATTCAATATGAAATACAAGTGCAGCCTGCACTAGTACAACATTAATCAATTATTAATCAACTAATCAATGGCATTTTCTGTGCAGGATGAAGAGGACAGACTTTGGGACCAGATAACTGCCCTGACTATTCATACAGGCACCCCAAAATAAATCAAAATACAACTGGGAACATAGGAGAGCCTGGGAATTCTTGGAGCAGAGCTGCCATCTGTGAGTTGATGAGTAACACCCAGGACAGCACAACAGATGGGGCTGTATTTAGGCTTTGCAGGAAACTCAAAAAATAAGGTTCATCCTTCATGTTAAGAGCAATCTGGTTGTTATTTGAAACCCAAGTCCTTTAAAAAGCCATCAGCTTGTGATTTCTTCAGACACTAATGCCAGGTGCTCCAGAATTTCACAAGGTACACAGGTCCTTAAATCCAAACCCACACAAACCTTCCAGGACTGGAAATGTGATGCTCAGGGAGCTCAGTCCAGCTGCTCCAGCCCAAATTTAGAAGGCATTCCTTTTCCCATCATTCCTTTTCCCACACCCATGTCTTCCCTCCATGCATTCTGGGAACATTAACAAATAAGTACATTTTATGTACATTGCAAAGAAGGGAATGGTAAGAAGCCAAAATATTTGCACTTCTGCAGTGACCTTGACTGCATGAAGTTTACAGATGATGCATCCAATGCCCAAAAGAACAACACAAATCATGCCAGAGTTTCACTTGCATAATATCAAAAATGTAGAGAATTAAATCTTCAACTAACTGCTTCAAATTTGAACCAAAATATTGCCTTTTTTTTGTCCCAGAAAAGGTGTTTTCTATTGCAGCAGAGCTTGTACAGACATTTTCAAGGCCAGAATTCCAAGTGCCCCCCAAAAAGGATATAGAGATACTTCCCTTGCTGCACATTGGACAAGTTCCAGATCTCATCATTCAGGAAGGACACTGTGGCTCCTTCAAGGAACAAGGAATGGCTGTCTGGAGGATCCAGCTTAAGCAAACGGAAGAGAAATGTTATTTAGTTACTTTTTCCCCTAAAAAAATAAAGGTTGAGTGGTTATTTATACAGATGGTTAAAACAGAGAAAAAAATCACCCCTTGCCCATCCTTAAAACTGAGGAAACTGGTAATATTTACAGGTTTAAGCCATAGTTTTCTGTATATATATATACATATTCTGTGTACAAGCTACTTGCTGCCACAGGTATCTTTACCTGAAGGTTTTTTTCTGTTGTTATCCAGTGTCCCCCAACCCCGAGCAGAGTGATGATGTCGTGCTTGTGAGGCAGCAGCTGGGATTTTGAAGCTGATTCATCTTCAGCACTATATAATTTCACTGGGGAGGAAGAATAAATTCATTTGAGCTCAGCAAAGGAGAATTTAGAAAATCCAGTATAAATCTATTTCCACACATTTCAGTGGAACTCCAAGAAGTTCTTCAGTTATTTCAGCTGAAAATAGTTGAAAACTCTGAATTTCCTATTTTATTTGTACTCTGAATATTTTGTATGCTTTATACACTTTATATTTTAAATACTTTATTCAGAATCATATCTTATATGACTGAATAGTAACTTCAGAGTTTCCAACCATTTGAGTTGGTTCAGAGAACAGGTTGCCAGTGCTGGCAATTTTGGGCAATTTTTGTATTAAAACGAGGCAGCAGAAACAGTGATGTCACAGCCCTATGCTTTGAACACATTTTGTTTTATTTTCACTTTCAAACAGAGGAAGATTTCAGCTGAATTCAGCAGCTTCCACTAGAGGGTGACACAAGGAGGGCTATGGAATAAACTAGCTAAAGAATAAAAGCCTGTGAAGTGGTGCAGCTCCCAGCCACATTCCTTGCCAATAATGCTGGAAAACCCAA